CAAACCAAGGCTATTCGCATAAAAGACGATGAGTCAATAGACGACTTTGCTATGAAGTTGACAACGATCGTCAGTGGCATCCGTTCGTTAGGCGATAAGGTGGAGGAGATCTCTATTGTTAAGAAATTCCTTCGAGTTGTTCCTTCAAGATTCATGCAGATTGTTACCTCCCTCGAATAGTTTGGTGAGCTCAAGAATATGTTGGTATAGGAGGTCGTTGATCATCTTAAGGTCCATGAGGAGGGACTTCATGGCTACGAAGACAAAGAGGAGGAGAAACACCTCTTACTCATACATGAGGATGGCTCGCATGGACGAAAAAGAATGATGCATCTGACACTTCTTTTTCAGGTACGAGAGGACATCGCAACCATAATAATGGAAATAGAGATCGTGGACATGGTCGCGAACGTGGTGGCAGAGGAGGTCGTGAAAGTACCTTACAACAATGCCAACCCCTTGAAAGACAATAGCATGATCAAGTGTTACTTTTGTGGAAAGTATGAGCATTATGTGGTAGAGTGCTACAAGAAGAAGCGCGATGAGGAGACAAACCTCACACTCACGCAGGATCAAGAGCCCACACTAATGTTGGCTGAGAAGACGTCAAATATGTTGATGCTTAACTAAGAGAAGGTTATGGTGAACCTTCTCACAAAAGAAGAAAACTGAGTAGAGACCAACATGTGGTGCCTAGACAGTGGAGCAACCAACTACATGACTGGAGATTGAGGAAAGTTCAAGAAGTTTGATGAGAACCCCTATGAAAACGTGAAGTTTGGTGATGGATCAATTGTACCGATCCAAGAAAAAGGATTCATCTTGTTCTAGTGCAAGAATGACGACCAACGTCTACTGACCAAGGTATATTATATCTCAATCTTGAAGAGTAATATTATTAGTCTTGGTCAGAGGAAGAAAGAAGGAAGCAGATGTTCAACAGATGAAGTCAAAATGGTTGCATAACCGCATGTACAAACTACTATTGAAGACCAGCCATCCTCTCTCTCTATTGACGACACTCGCAGACCCAGCTTGGCTATGACATGCAAGAGTTGGACACTTGAACTTTTAGGCACTCAAAACGATAGGAGAGAAGAAAATGGCTACTGGACTACCCAAAATCATACACCCGAACTAGCTATGTGAAAATTTTCTAGTCTCCAAACAAGCAAGATTGTCGTTTCCAGCTTAAACCCATTTCCAGGTTGAGTGACCATTGCAACCGGTTCATGTAGATTTATGTGGCTCAACATGTAATACCCCAAGCCCACTGCCAGTAGATATTATCTTCTTTGGACTTTCTATTTCGGGCTTGTCCTCAAGATTTTTAAAACGCGTATGCTAGGGAGAGGTTTTCATATTCTTATAAATAATGTTTAATCCCTTCTCCAACAAATGTAGGATCTCACAATCCACTCGCCTTTGGGGCCCAACATCCTCTCCAATTGATGTGGGATCTTACACAATCACCCCATCATCAATTGCTCGTAACAACATACTTTCTCTTACTTGTTGATGATTATAGCTGTTGGATGTGGTGCTCAGAGAAAAAGTAGTGGCATTATGTGCATTCAAGAAGTTCAAAAGACTTGTTAAAAATGGTCTGATCACGAGCTAAAAACCTTGTGCATTGAACGAGGTCGTGAGTTCTTATCCCAGAACTTCTGAAAGTTTTGTGATGAGGAAGGCATCAAGCGTTAACTCATTGCACCGTACGCTCCTCCACAAAAAAATGGTGTGGTCGAACGAAGAAACCACACCATAATGAACACTGCAAGAAGCTTACTCAAGAACATGCAAGTCTCCATGACTTTCTGGGTGAGGCAATATGACATGCAGTTTATCTTTTAAACCGTTTACCACAAAGGCGCTAGACATTCGCACTCCCTACGAAGCATGGTTCGGCAAGACAACTCACTTCGAGTACCTAAGAGTCTTCAGTTACAACACATTTTAAGACTGCAAAATCATATATCAAAAAGCTTGATGACAGAAGCCAAAAGATGGTGTGCTTTGACGTAGAGAATGAGTCCAGAGCACACAGATGTATGATTCACAAGATGAGAAAATTCATGTAAGTAGAGATGTCATATTCGAAAAAGAGAAGAAGTGAGATTGGTGCAGCATTGGCGATACCAAGCAGCCTGTTACAGAGTTCACTACCTTGGAAGAAGAAGGAGACGCAATAGACCTAAAATGTACACCGACAGCGACACCAAGAAGTCCACACATGTCATCACTAGAGACTCCGAAAGTCGTGATAAATCCTCTAGAACAAAGATTTCATGCGAGAGCAGAGGAGGATCCACAACAGAGGATGGACCAAAGAAGTTTCGTTCTCTTGCTGAAATTTATGTAGATACACTTGAAGAAGAATTGGGTCCCGACGAGTTAGCAATTGAAACGACGAGTTACGTAGATACAGTGTCGAGGAGCCAAAAACTTATCATGAGGCAGCAACTGAAACGATATAGTAGGAGGTCATGGAAAAAGATCTTAAATGTTGGATTTCAAATAATTGGCCCGGAAATTCTTTATTTTCGGTGAGAGAAAATTGTCGACAACAGGTTGTTAGAAGGAAAATAAAATGCATAAAATAAGGAGGGGGAGAATGATGAAATTTTGACTACCTTATTTCGTTTCAACTCCGTTTTGAGCCCTATGGCTCGGTGTCCCTGGCGGCATGTCCTCCAGACTCCACGTCTTGTTCGGCCGCCTCTTCTTCGAGTTGGCGTGCCGCCAGTCTAGGTGGTTCACCTCTTCCTAATAGGTCTTCCATCTTCCGGTACCTAGCCGAGAGGTTGACTGGTTGCTCTATCGCCAGCTTTAGGATGTAAAGGCGGTTTGCCGTGCACCGAACTTGCGTGAGCAACCGCCGGATCATCACGGATCCTAAGTAGCCCGCGTTTGATGGAAATGTGGCAGCCGGCCTTATCAAGTTGACCCAGGCTCACAATATTAGCCTTGAGTCTCGGGATGAAGTAGACGCTGGTCAGCTTGTGATGATTGCCTCCCTTGCCGACGAACAGGACGGTGCCGGTTTTATCTAACAATCTCCTCCTCAAACCTGTGGTATATCTACCTTATTTCGTTTCAACTCCGTTTTAAGCCCTATGGCTCGGTGTACCTGGCGGCATGTCCTCCAGACTCCACGTCTTGTTCGGCCGCCTCTTCTTCGAGTTGGCGTGCCGCCAGTCCAGGTGGTTCACCTCTTCCTAATAGGTCTTCCATCGTCCGGTACCTAGCCGAGAGGTTGACTGGTTGCTCTATCGCCAGCTTTAGGATGTAAAGGCGGTTTGCCGTGCACCGAACTGCGTGAGCAACCGCCGTCGATCATCACGGATCCTAAGTAGCCCGCGTTTGATGGAAATGTGGCAGCCGGCCTTATCAAGTTGACCCAGGCTCACAATATTAGCCTTGAGTCTCGGGATGAAGTAGACGCCGGTCAGCTTGTGATGATTGCCTCCCTTGCCGACGAACAGGACGGTGCCGGTTTTATCTAACAATCTCCTCCTAAAACCTGTGGTATATCTACCTTATTTCGTTTCAACTCCGTTTTAAGCCCTATGGCTTGTTCTATCGCTAGCTTTAGGATGTAAAGACGGTTTGCCGTGCACCGAACTTGTGTGAGCAACCGCCGTCGATCATCACGAATCCTAAGTAAGCCCGCGTTTGATGGAAATGTGGCAGCCGGCCTTATCGACGTCGGTCAGCTTGTGATGATTGCCTCCCTTGCCGACGAACAGGACGGTGCCGTGACCTTCGATCTCAACGACAGAGCCGCCGCCGAGTTTCACCGTCACGCGAATCCCCGAGTCAAGCTCGGAGAATGCAGACTTGGCCCCAGTCATATGGTTTGTTGCCCCCGTGTCGAGGACCCATTGCCGGTGCTCTTGCTGCTCATCTCTTTTCCCCAGCCGGTGCCTTTATTATGCACAATTGGAGCTCTTCCTCGGGTTCGACACTCACAAGAGCAGTTATGCCGTCGTCGATTACCTCTGTGGATTTGGGGAGCTCTTCCTCGGGATTAAGGACGTCAGGTAGAACTAATGCAGTCACACCATGAAAAGGGCCGGCTCGTCCTCCTCGGTTGTCTCCTTGTTCCTGAGCTTGCTCCAGCAATTTTTGCTCAGGTGACCCTCTGGCCCGTCATCAGTCGGATCCTCCTTTTGATCCGTCCACTCGTTATAGTTGGACCCCATGATGTGTTTATTTTTGCACTTTGCATTTTCTTCTACTCGAACCTGAGACCTATGTGTTGTTAGGTCGACACTCTAGCCACTTGAGCTATTCAACTTGATTGTTGATAGGTTGGCTCCTCCGTAATGATATACACCGATGGCTTCAACCGGGCTCTGATACCAGTGAAAATATTCTAACCGATTTCCTATTTAAATATAACTTATCCTAAAAATGGTCGGAGAGTGGCCAACTGAATCTGTGCCACTTCCTCCTAAATTGCGGTCTAAAACTTAGTTAATCCATTCGACGTGTTTGTCAAATGGTAAAACGGAGAATGAAGGTAATCGTGTGAATCTAAATAAGGAAAAATCAGGTTTTATCTAACATTAAAGCCATTGAGAAGAACAAGATATGGGCATTGACTAGTCCGTCAGTTCGAAGTGGGTGTTTAAGTTGAAGAAGAATAGTGAAAGAAATTTCATCAAGCATAAAGCAAGACTCGTGGCAAAGGGATACGTGTAGTGTCAAGGAGTTGATTTTGAGAAGGTTTTCACGCCAGTGGCTAGATTGGACACTGTAAAGTTGATTCTTGCCCTCGCAGCTCAACACGGGTAGAAGGTGCATCACTTAGATGTCAAATCAACGTTCCTAAATGGTGACCTCCAAGAAGGATTATATGTTGCCCAACCGGAAGGTTTCATCATCAAACCCGAAGAGCACAAAGCGTACAAGTTGCCAAAGACCCTCTACAGTTTACTGCAAGTATTGAGGGCTGGAACATACATCTAAATAAGAGCTTAAAGATTCTAAAATTCATGAAGTGTTCGCAAGAACAAGCAGTGTATACAAGAAACAATGGAGATGAAACACTCATAGTTGGTGTGTACGTTGATGACTTGATTGTCATTGGTACAAATGTGGAAGGCATCAAAGAGTTCAAGCACCAAATGATAAAAGAATTTGAGATGATTGATCTCGGGTCACTCACGTACTACCTCGGTATTGAAGTAGACCAAAGGAAAAATTGCATCACGCTAAAACAATTGGCCTATGCTAAGCAGGTGATGCAGCAATTTAAGATGGCAGAGTGCAACCCAACTAAGTATCTCATGGAAGCAAAGTTAAAACTCGCGAAAGATACTAAAGGAAGCTTGGTGAATTCCACTGAGTATAGGTGCATCATCGAAAGTCTATGGTACTTGACTCATACTCGTTCGAACCTTTCATATGTTGTTGGAATGGTGAGTAGGTACATGGAAAAGACTGCTATGATGCATCATCAAGCGGTTAAGCACATTCTCTACTATGTGAAGCGAACCACAAGTTCTGGGCTGAAGTATCAAAGAGGGTGATGTCTTGAAGAACTAATTGATTTTTTCGATAGTGATTTAACTGGAGGCATTGACGATAAAAAAAGTACTGCAGGAACGACGTTTTATCTCAACATAAATTGATCTCATGGCAATCTCAGAAGCATCAAACTGTGACACTATCTTCCTATGAGGCCAAGTTCATGGTAGCAACTGCGACATCATGCCAAGTATTGTGGCCGAGAAATTTGTTGAACAAAGTGACTGAAAGTCGGTAACTCTCTATGTCGACAAAAAATCTACGATTGCATTGATGAAGAATTTGGTATTTTGCGGACGCAACAAACACATTGACACTTGTTTCCACTTCATCCATGAGTGTGTCGAGAAGAGACAAATCGCTATAGAGTTTATATGCACTAGAGAGCAAAGTGCGAATATTCTCACCAAGGCCCTAGCAAAGATTAAGTTCGCAAAGATGCAAGAGTTGTTGGAGTGAAAAATCTTGAATAAAGTCAAGGGGAGATTGTGAGCCGATAAACTGAAATTAATAAAATAAGTTATTAGCTAATGGAGCAACTTTAGTAGATTTGTCATTTTGGACCAAATTGAGTGATTTAATTAGAAAAATTGTTAATGTTTTTTACTTGAGGAGAAAGTTTAGAAAAGTTGTTAGGGCTTTCTCCACTATAAATACTCATCATCAAATGTATGCTCTAGTCACAATAGTATAAATGCTTAAAATTCTTCCATTCAAAGAATCTCTCCCCTTAAGTTGTTCTTGCTTCTTTTACTTGTTTCTTATATTTCGATCGTGGGTCATATCCAACAGATAATTTTCGAGTAATGATAAACAAAGAACAATTGAGTCAAGGGCTTTAAGATAACAATGACCCTAGAGCATCGGTTGAATGATGGGTCAATGAACAGGGAGAGTCAGATTTCTTTGAGAAATCTGATCTTCTAATAAAACAATCTACCGACGATGCCAAAATTAATTTTTTTTTCGAGATATTACAATAATTTTTAAAAACTAAGAACAAAAAACCAAATCATTATCAATAGGGACGTATTGAAATTCTTCTCTCATTTGTGAATTATTAAAAACAAAAGGCAACATGCTTACTATACAAAACAAATGCCACTAAATGATCAAGTCAAGGCTTACTTGGCTACCACTCCATACTATATTATTATTACCAACTTTCTAAAAGGCATCTCCACCAAATATGGCAAAAGGGTGTGTTCACATCTTTAAACCTTTTTTTCCCCTCATATTGCATTATTGTCTATCTCTATCTATGATTCATCACTTATGGGAAAATTCTTAGAATTTAAAGCATACCCTTTTCAATTTTCTTCGAGCAAATCTGTGGGTTGAACTCGTGCTGTAATAGTCCAAGCTCACTGCTAGTAAATATTGTCCATTTTGACCCGTTACGTATCGCCGTCAGCCTCACAATTTTAAAATATGTCTACTAAAAAGAGGTTTTCACATTCTTATAACGAACGTTTCGTTTTCCTCTCTAACTAATGTGGGATCTCATACGTGATTATCTAATTGGACGGATGTAGACACAATTGCCTAGCTCGTCAAACTCGAGATTATATTAACATATGGATAAATATGCAATCCATTAGTCATACGTAATATCGATAATTGATTATTATTATTATTATTATTATTATTATTATTATTATTATTATTGTTGTGTTGTATGGATTGACGTCATCATAAAGTGGAAATTGACAAAAAGAGTTGCTTTGTTGAAGACGGCATCTTTGGATATATCTCATGTCCATTTGAACATTGTATTTGTGCGGACAAATAGTATTCCACTCATACACAGTGGATTTGAATTCTGACAGACATATATGTGTCGTTTACAAAAATAATGTCTCAATTTTATGAAATTATCCTTAAAAATATTGATAATCGTTAATACTGATAGAAAAGTTACCTAAATAAAAGATTTAAAAAAAAACGTCGATTTCGTTAAACTCATAAATCCTAATTTAATATCTTGCTTCTAGTTAAAATATATAAATTAAATAAGTCCTAAACGAACTAAGATCATTGCTAAACACATGCAATCGTCATTTTAAAACACGAGAAGGAGAAGTAATTTTAGCTTAAAACGAGGAAAAGTCGAAGCAAAATGACCTTAAAATTGAACTAAACCAACTTAGCCGAACCATTGAATCGGACTGAACTGCAAAAACAATGGTATGCATGAATCCCATCTGGGATCTCCCAACCATTTCCTAATGACGACGACAACGACAAAATCTCCCACAAGCAACACCCTGATGGTTGATCTATACGACGATGTTGTTGTGGCCAAAGGTAGAAAAGACGCAGTTGCGTATAAAAATAATTTATGTTTTGAAAATTTTCAACTAGTATCTAAAGTTGGGTTGAATCTTTGACTTCTAATTATTGCGGGACGTAATCCATTCAATAGTCGTAAAAATTATAATATTTAATTTCAACCAATTTATATCAACTTATACCGTCATTTTTATCTTATACACGAGAATCAATTAGCTAACCAATCCTTCCTACTTAATTATAAACGTCGTTTTCTCCCGAAAATTTATTCATCGGGATATTTAGGAATTTCAATTAAATATTATATAATTAAAATATTTGAAACTTGACATCTAATTAAACTTAACTGTTTTTTATTAAATAATTATTGGAGATTAAATAATTTTTTTTATTAGAAATACTAATCTAGCTATTTTTGAATTATTATTTTACAAATAAATATTTAATTATTTTTTCAATAATTTATCATTATAATTGCATGAATTTATTACGAATGCAAATGGTTTTTAGTTGGTTTGGTCAAAACCGGCATACAAATTAATTATTATTATAAGAAATTTTAATTATTTCTATTTAATATAAAATTACCATTAATTAAAAAATAAAATAGAACAAAATAGCAAATTTACAAAACAACCCTTGATATTTCCTATTTAAGATTTTAAAAATAAATAATCAGAAAAATGGGTATAGAAGAGACTTAGTCAAAGTCAACGATTATACCGACGACTTAAGAGATAAGGTTTTTTATGTTCGTTTCATTGATTAATTTTGATTATAATATATATTTTTTTTATTTATTTGCAAATATATTTTTTTAAAACAATAAATCAGTTTCTCATTATGAAACCTAATTAAAAAAAAACAATTTTTAAAAAACGTTCTTCCCCCTCGCCAAATGAACACCATTACTCTTTCAAATTTCGGGAATTATATTTTTAAATAGTTCAATAAATTAAAAGTTAGAGATATGAATGTTTAATTTTTTAATCAAAATTAGATACATGTTTACTAGTTAAGTATGACTCAACTTAACGGTTTTTATTTGGTGGCCAGAAACATATATGTAAGACTAATTTAAAAACTACTACAGATTGATATTGTCTATTTTAATTTTTGTATGTCTCATTCGGTTCTCGATTTTATAGAAAAGTTGATAAAAGTATAAATAAAATGTCAAACCCGTTTGAATTTTCTAAAGTAATAAAAACGTTAATTCATTTGTCGGAGTATTTAGACACGAAAAAATATATTATTTCTTATCCAAATTTCAATCTTCCATTCATGAAATCACAAAATTTTGGAGTGGAAAAGAAGGAAAGAACTCAAAACTTAGGTCTAGAAAACTTGGGAATATCCATTTGAAATGGCATTCATATACAGAGAGAGGTAGAGAGAGAGAGATTTTAAGAAATAACACAGCCATTTGGATCTTCTTCAATGCTTATGCTTCTAGGAGGATAGAAAACTGGTGGATAAAAACAGGGGTTATTTCTGGCATGCCATGCCTTCAACATCTCTGCAAGCTTTTCTTCTTCTTTCTTCTTTTCCTCTGCTGCCTTCTTTGGATCTTCCTTCTTTGGTTCCTCTTTCTTTGGCTCTGGTTTCTTTTCTTCTTTCTCTGGTCCAACTGATACGATCACTGTGTGACAAATTTTCCTCAGTTTGCTCACTATCATCACTGGATCTACATCCCCTGTTACTGTCAGTTTCTTCTCTTTCATGTCCATTGAGATTGAGTTCACTCCTGCAATCATTTTTTCACAAATTTTTTCAGCCAAACAGGACGGAGAGAGAGAGAAAAGTGGTGGATTTTTTCACAAATTTTGACATATGGGGTTGTTTTTGTTCTTCATGTATAATAATGGCTGGTTCGGAGAAAAACAGAGTATTTCTACAAAACAGAACAGAGCGAGCGAGAGAGAGAGAGAGAGAGATGGAAGATTTTGAAACATGGGTTGCTTTTGTTCTTCATGTAAAATAATGGGTTCGTTCAATTTTTCATGTAAAATAATGGGTTCGTTCAATTTTTCATTTAAAATTGAAGAAACAAGAAACTTCAATTGGTTTGGAGAAAAACAGAGTATTTCTCCAAAAACAGAGCAGAACAGAGAGAGAGAGAGAGATGGAAGATTTTGAAACATGGGTTGTTTTTTTTTTTTTTTTTACATGTAAAATAATGGGTTCGTTCAATTTTTCATGTAAAATTGAAGAAAAAAGAAACTTCAATTGGTTTGATGAAAAACAGAGCATTTCTCCAAAAACAGAGCAGAACAGAGAGAGATAGAGAGAGAGAGAGAGAGAGAGAGAGAGATGGAAGATTTTAAAACATGGGTTGTTTTTGTTCTTCGTGTAAAATAATGGGTTCATTCCATTTTCCATTTAAAATTGAAGAACAAAGAAACTTTAATTGGTTTGGAGAAAAACAGAGCAGTGAGGGAGAGAGAGAGAAACTCGATGGGATTCAATCTGTTCTTCTAATAAAAGATGGGTTTGTTTTGGACAGATCTTCAATGATATATTTTCATTTCCTCTGTTTTCTTAGAGAGAGAGAGAGAGAAGGAATCAAAAGAAATTCCATTAAGTACCTGCTAAACTAGAAACAGAGCTCATAGCTTTTTGCTTTGATTTTTCATCAGAAACATCTAATTTCAGAATCACTTTCTGCAAAACAATCAAACCAAAAAAATAAGCATAAAAAAAACAAAACCCATAACCCATCAAAGAACAGAGACAGAGAATTCGACAAGCCGTACCTTCATTTCTGGAGAATTTCAGAACGGAAATTAAAATAAGTAGAGAGAGAGAGAGAAGAAGAATTTAGTGATGAAATCTGGAATTGAAAGGACACGGAATGAACCAATTTATAACAAAGAAAAGATAGAGAGAGAAGAAGACGAAGAAGATGATGACGACTAAGTCATGATGAAAGGTCTCCGGTGAAGAGTCAAGGAAATTAAATAACGAAAATTCATGGAAAATTCATTCACTTCCTTTCTCTGAAAGCTCTGTTTAAACTAATGAAATGCGTGTTTTTTTGTCACTTTTGCAGCCTACAATGGCGGCCTTCTTTTCTTTCACACAGGTGTTCCAAGAAGGCCTTGAAAACATCGAGTCAACTTCCTAAATGGATCTTACCAAAATTGTGAACACAAAAGGTAAGGTTTTGATGATAAAAAAAAAAAAAACAAAAACAAACGTGGGGTGCAAAGGTTTGTGGTTTTAGGGGACTTCAATAGCTTGCATTCTACGCGTCTTAAAAATATTGTATCCCGATGATTAGCAGAGTTGTTCGTGGGTTGAGCTGGATCGAGTTATCGTATCTTTTAGGAAATCAGTATGCTTTGGAAGAACCTTGTACAGTTTCGAAAAGGGGTTCTGATTGATCAAAATGATGATTGGGCACCGTCATGCTTAACACAGAAATCACACATAACAGTAGGTGTTGTAGGAACATTGTTGGACATATACGGAATTAAATAAACGTATATAGAACCGATTAATTAATCGAATTTTTCGAGTTATCGAAAATTTTTAAACATCCCTAACAACTAACACTGATGAATCGAACATGTCGTACACAACTTCCATGAAACATAGCCTATAAAAGTCCAATTTTTCGGTAAATTTAATTATTATTATTATTATTTCAATGAAAGGAAAGAGGAAGTGAAGTTTCTTTTAGATAAAGGCAAAAAAAACATGGGTGAGAAGTAAAGAAAGATCATTTCTTGGGGGATTTGAGGAAGTCTAGAAAATCTCGAATCAACCAACATTCCAGATGGGTCGAGAAAAATTATGAACACAAAAAGGTATAAAATATTTATGAACTTTTCAATACGGTTCAGTTATACTCTGAAACTATAATTTTTTTTTTAACCTTTGAACACGACAGTTAACGTGTAATAATTGATTGACAAACATGACATCATTTACAAATTCACACACTTTAAAGTATGATGGCTACATAGCTACATATTAAAGTTAATAAACTAAATTGGTAAAAAAAAAGTTTTTTTTTTAAGATAATTTCATAAGTAACATTTTTTTTTCTATTCATATTAATGTAACAAACTACTAAATTAAGCCTACAAATGAATAAAAATTAATTATGCTTAATAATAGTTAGAATAATGTCTTCCAGTTATAACAATAATGAACATAATTATAATTATGGAAGAGGTATGTAACGTCCCAGACTCAAGCCCACTACTAGCCAATATTGTCCTTCTTAGGCTTTCCCTTCCAAACTTTCGCTCAAGGCTTTAAAACAAAGGTTTAACGTGAGACATCACAAACTAATTGAGAAAGATTTAGAGGGAGAAATAGAGGTAATTATGTAAGACCCATGAATGTTTCTATTTGAATCAATCAACGTGAGTATAGTTTAATACAATATGCTTCAATGAAGATGTGAAGAAAAGGTTGTCAAAATTATCAAAAGATGTTTCAATTCATGCTACATTGAAGAAGAATAAAGTTTGATTGTTGTAAATTTGGGGTGGGTTATAATTTAGAGTTATTGTTTTTTAAGACATTTTATTTAATTTCGGTGGTAATCCGAATCTTATTCCCCTTGTATTGATTCCTTATCTTATCAGTTTTGGTCTAATATCTACTCTATTGGAACATCTAAAGAGACCTTAAAGTTTTGAGCAGATCTCTGATTTGAATCCCTAGGGGTCTTACATGTTTTTCAATCTTTCTGTTTTTTTACTTAGGCTGTCTGTATAGTTTTAGCAGTGAACATTCGACATCCTCGGTTACAACACTACCTCATAAAATCTGCTATGATAGTATGACGTCTTGATGGCCTGAACATTAACGATAGTCTAGGTAGGGCGCGTACTAATGGTGTATTGGAAGGAATAAGAGACAGAGACTTTGGTGATACTATCATATCAATACTGAGCCTATTAAGCTTTGTTAGACGTCTTTGCTATGGAAGTTTACTAGGTTCTTAGAGTCTTGTAGGTGGTTCAAATCTCATCTCCCCTTTAGCTCCTCGGGGCTAATCCATCCTCTAGGTGTACATACTAACGTTCTTAGAGTGCATGGTTTACTAGAAATATACTAAACTAGGTCAACGTGTAGAGCGTTCCATATGTAATGTCATAATCTTAACTTGGTCCACTCGTGGATGCTTGTTAAAGAGATATTCCTATCAATCACCTAAAATACGGAACACATATTCTAAACATTACCTAGGTCATCTGTAGGTGCTAATAAGATATATTCGATACTCTCAATGAAGAAATTAATTTTAATTAGTTAATTGAATAACCATTTTTGTCAACGGACTTATTTAGGATCATAATAATTACAAATTTAATTTCGAGAGGGTAAAATCGACAATAACCCACCTTATGTCAAAATCTAGCTATATAGTTAAATATTCACTATTTTGTAGTTTTGTTTTATCTAAATAAGAGACGGGACGAAGAACTCGAACTTTTAATATATGATAAAAAAAATACATATTTTATGATTAGTAAATCTTCATAGATGATAATTAATTATTTTTTTAATTGTTTTGGACGATTTTTCTTAATTATTTTTCTAATTTGAGCTATTTTATTAATTATTTAGTTTATTAACAATTTTTTAAAAAATAATTATGAAGACAAAATGGTCACGTTTCTCCCGAAATAGTGTGAAATGAAGTTTCTTTCACCTACTTCAATTTAAAATGTTGAAAATGGATATAATCTTTTGAAATTAAAGTTCAAGAATTACCATTTGCAATTTAAAATATTATAAAAATTTTCACAAAATAAAAGTAATAAATGAATGAATTGAGACCATATTTGAATGAGAGCGATTCTAACTGAGAAAGATTTAAAAGAATTGAAGGTCATTACTTGTACCAACAAGGTGCATATTTTTTTTCTTCTTCAGTAGCTCAGTCATAGAAATTCATTAGCTAAACGTGTTTCACTTGGAGCAATTCTTTGTCGGATAACCTTCTAAGAATTTTTATAGAACACATGTGAGTATAGACAAACATACTAAAAGAACTCGAGTTGGTCGGTGGAAATCGTCTTATTATCTTAATGTTAGATAATTCACAAAGAGTAGCTCAATGGCGACATTCAATCATCCAAATGATTTCATTTTGTTCGTAAATGGAAACTATCAATTTAAGCTCAATGGCGACATTCAATCATCCAAATGATTTCATTTTGTTCGTAAATGGAAACTATCAATTTAAAGTTTTTAACGTAAATGATTATCAAATGATATCGAAAATGACAACTATAAAAAAAAAAAAATTATAAAAAAAATAAAATTCTCAACCAATAACCAATCGACAGCAAATCAACCTTCNAGGGCGCGTACTAATGGTGTATTGGAAGGAATAAGAGACAGAGACTTTGGTGATACTATCATATCAATACTGAGCCTATTAAGCTTTGTTAGACGTCTTTGCTATGGAAGTTTACTAGGTTCTTAGAGTCTTGTAGGTGGTTCAAATCTCATCTCCCCTTTAGCTCCTCGGGGCTAATCCATCCTCTAGGTGTACATACTAACGTTCTTAGAGTGCATGGTTTACTAGAAATATACTAAACTAGGTCAACGTGTAGAGCGTTCCATATGTAATGTCATAATCTTAACTTGGTCCACTCGTGGATGCTTGTTAAAGAGATATTCCTATCAATCACCTAAAATACGGAACACATATTCTAAACATTACCTAGGTCATCTGTAGGTGCTAATAAGATATATTCGATACTCTCAATGAAGAAATTAATTTTAATTAGTTAATTGAATAACCATTTTTGTCAACGGACTTATTTAGGATCATAATAATTACAAATTTAATTTCGAGAGGGTAAAATCGACAATAACCCACCTTATGTCAAAATCTAGCTATATAGTTAAATATTCACTATTTTGTAGTTTTGTTTTATCTAAATAAGAGACGGGACGAAGAACTCGAACTTTTAATATATGATAAAAAAAATACATATTTTATGATTAGTAAATCTTCATAGATGATAATTAATTATTTTTTTAATTGTTTTGGACGATTTTTCTTAATTATTTTTCTAATTTGAGCTATTTTATTAATTATTTAGTTTATTAACAATTTTTTAAAAAATAATTATGAAGACAAAATGGTCACGTTTCTCCCGAAATAGTGTGAAATGAAGTTTCTTTCACCTACTTCAATTTAAAATGTTGAAAATGGATATAATCTTTTGAAATTAAAGTTCAAGAATTACCATTTGCAATTTAAAATATTATAAAAATTTTCACAAAATAAAAGTAATAAATGAATGAATTGAGACCATATTTGAATGAGAGCGATTCTAACTGAGAAAGATTTAAAAGAATTGAAGGTCATTACTTGTACCAACAAGGTGCATATTTTTTTTCTTCTTCAGTAGCTCAGTCATAGAAATTCATTAGCTAAACGTGTTTCACTTGGAGCAATTCTTTGTCGGATAACCTTCTAAGAATTTTTATAGAACACATGTGAGTATAGACAAACATACTAAAAGAACTCGAGTTGGTCGGTGGAAATCGTCTTATTATCTTAATGTTAGATAATTCACAAAGAGTAGCTCAATGGCGACATTCAATCATCCAAATGATTTCATTTTGTTCGTAAATGGAAACTATCAATTTAAAGTTTTTAACGTAAATGATTATCAAATGATATCGAAAATGACAACTATAAAAAAAAAAAAATTATAAAAAAAATAAAATTCTCAACCAATAACCAATCGACAGCAAATCAACCTTCGAACCAAGAAGAAAAAGGCTAAAAATAAATGGTGAAATGAAAGGAAAAAAGAAAATATAAATCAAATAAGGAAGTGAGCCAACGGTCAGGCGACATCTTTGGGCAGAGGATAGATAAAAGGGAGAAATGGAACGGTCAAGAATGACAAAAGGAAGGTCAAGGGTAAAAAGGTCAATTTACCATAAAAGTGATTTACTTTATTTATTTTTTTGGAGTGTTTGATTATGGAAATAATTTACTTTCCTTTTGAGAAAATAAAAATGTTGGGATA